AAGCATTTACATAGAGGGACTAGTAGTAGCCTGCACACAAGTTGTCTCACCGGCAGATCACAAAATGTGCACACTCCATGGTTCAAAAGTGTGCAGCCATCAGAATGTTATTTATTTGTGACTCTTTGAGATGTGCTGCTGGAGAAGAGAGCTAAGGATACTGTGGATGGCTAAAAAAGATAAACAAATAGGTCCTAGAGCAGATGTAGCCTGAAATTGAGGCTATCAGACTTTGGCCACATCATGAGAAGACAGGACTCACTGGAAAAGGCAGGAGAAAGAGGAGAAGACCACATACCAGATTTAGGAGATTATCCCACTGCTGAAATAACCCTTTTTACCTCTTCCTAACTGAAGTCTAATTTGGGAGGTAGCCAGGTCCTATCACAAGGATTTTGCCACCGAAGCCACAGGGTGAGTCCAGCCCAGCTGCAGTCCGGATCCCCGGCGCACTTCGGCAACCATTTTTTGAAGTCGGAAAGCTCCCAATTTCAAACGGCTGCTGAAGTGTGCCAGGGACCTGGGCTGCAACTGGACTGGACTCACCCGGCGGCTTCGGTGGCAAAATCCTTGTGATAGGGCTCAGCTGCCTCCCGAATTAGGCTTCAATTCAGAAGAGGTAAACCAAGTTATTTCAGCAGTGGGATAATCTCCAAACAGACAAGTAGATCATAGCCCTGAGCCTACAGACCTGAGAGAGCAAGTGAGGACAGGGAAGATTGGAGGTGCTTTGTTCACAGCGTCACCATGAGAAGAAATGGCATGTGTTAGATGTGAGGAGGACACTTAAGGAATACATTAAAAGAGGGGTAGGCAACCTTTCCCCTTTAAGGGCCAAGGGACTTCAGCTCCCAGAAGCCTCAGCCATGTTGGCCAATAGTGCATTAAAAGAACAACTAGCGTCAAACATAATGGATGCATTGTTAATGTCCTTCCATCCTAAAACTTTAGGAAATAATAATAATAATAATGATAATGATAATAATTTATATCCCCCCTTTGAGATCAATCAGGGCAGCTAACAACAATAAAATATTACATAGTACAAACAAGTCGGATTCCCTTCCACCATTAAAACATTATTAAATCAGTCCAAGTTAAAACGAAAGCATGTCTCTGCCAATTCTACGACTCTGCCAGGGTGCCACAACCAAAATGTGTGACCGCATTTGACTTGCGCTGTGGCGACTAATACAGTGTATACAGGTTTAGCATCATTGGAGGATGTTTGTAATGCTGCTGCTGGGTGGAATGATCCTTTCATGTTCACAAGGCATTGTTAAATAGAGAAGCTCAAATGGACACAGGCAGATTTTGATCCCATTATGCTGCAACCAGTGAGGTGAATGCATGGCAGCCACGCACTCCCTAGAAACTGTGTTTGGGTAAATCCCAAGAATGCGTGGGTTGCTCCTCCTTTGCCACCCAGAAAATGAGAGTTGGTACTTTGAATATTCATGGGTAGCAGTAGAAGCAATCCACCCCTTCCAGTTTATGACTGCACACTCAATAAATTAAATTAAATTAAATTAAAGATTAGGTTGTTAAACAAGGCTTTAGAATGAAACTAGCAGAGAAGGGAAGGGAGTCAATGGACATAATAAAAAAAAAAAAAGAAACTTGGACTCCTGCTTAGTCAGTTGGCATATGGGCAATAACCTCTCATTTCCCAAAGTGCCAGATTCCTTCAAGATTTGTTGTTTGAAAGTCAAGATCTCCACTGACCATTGGACACTCTTGCTCTGCTCCCCAAATTTCAGGTTCCTAAAGCATGTGCGTTGTACGTATTGTATATATGTGTGGTATGTGTTGGTGTCAGTTCTTATATGTGAGGTTTCCATTCATTCATTCATTTGCTCATTCATTCATTTTTTATTAATTTATATTCCGTCTTTCTCCCAGCACTGGATTCAAGGTGGCTTACAAACGTTTAAAAATACTTTACAACTGAAAAACTACTAATACAAATGTTAAGTTAAAAAAACAATTAAACCAAATTAAAACAAACATACTGAAACAGTTTTTAAAAGACATTTAAAGCATAATAAAATAGATAATAACATGGGGACATGGTGGCTTAGTGGTTAAGATGCCAATTCTGACCATCGTAAGGTCAGAAGGTTGGCCCAAGTGGCGCGTGACGGAGTGAGCTCCCATCACTAGTCCCAGTTTCTGCCAACTGAACAGTTTGAAAGCATGTAAAAGTGCAAGTAGATAAATAGGTACCACTTTGGTGGGAAGGTAACAGTGTTCTGTGCAGTCATGTTGGCCATATGACCACAGAGTCCTCTTTGGACAACTCTTTGGTTTAGAAACGGAGATGAGCACCGTCCCCTACAGTTGTTTACGACTAGACATTAAAGTCAAGGGAAAGCCTTTACTTTTAACAAGGAACCACAGCAGCCTGTATTAAAAGTAACACCTGCCACCATCAAATGCACAACAAAATAAAAAGTTCTTTATCTGCTGGCAGAAAGACAGAAGGGAGGGGATCAACCATATCCTGCAAGGAAGGGAGTTCCACAGCTTGGGAGCAGCCACTCAGACAGCCACGTCTTCCACATCATCTCCAACCATGTCTGTGACGGTGGTAGGACTGAGACAAAGCTCTCCCATGTATATCTTAAAACTCAGGTAAGCTGATATAGGACCATTTGAGTGCCATGCATTGCAGAAAGGTGGGGTATAAATTAAACATATAAATGTGGAAGACAACTCAGGACCTGTACAGACTAGCAACAAGGGCTGGCCTAGGGGTGAAATTGGGGCTCCGCCTTGGCGCTGTCATCACGCCGCGCACTCTACTGCACGGCATGCTTGTCAGGGTACTCCCGATGCCGCCCCAACGCCACTGTCACACCGTGCAGCCAACCGCATGGCATGCAGCATCAGGGTGCCCCATTGGTGTAGCATGTAGACACACTGCACCAAAGGGGCACAAAAGAGCCACAACGCGGTGCTAAGGGTGGCCTTTTGCCACCCCAAAAAGGAGCAGCATTTGCCAGCACTTTTTGGAATGGCAAAAAGATTGGGGCAGTGGTGTGTGGTTGCTGCAGGCCCAATACGGCACTTTCAGGGGTGCACAGAACTGCCCCTTAGAGGCCGTCTGCATCGGCCCTATGTTAATCTTCACTCTCACCGGATCCAGCCTCCTACTTCACAGATCAGTCTTTGGATGGACACTCTACACCTTGACAAGCCGGAGTCTCTGGCTCTTGTTGAGAACTAGTTTTTTGATTCTGCTGCAGAGTAACTATTCATCAGATACATACTCTTGGCCCTTGTAGTTAATTGTTGTGGTGATGGTTTTTGTCATTATTCTACAGACTCAATAAAAATTTAATTAGGAAAAAAAAAAGACAAAGCTTGCCAAAAAAAAAGGCACCTTGGAAAGTAGGACAAGTGGCATCTTCAACCTGCCAGCGGTGGGCTATCGACCATCATCAACAGCTCCTTTTTAGAAACTAATTATTTGACGCACAGCAGATTATAACTTAATTGGGTCAAGATGAACTGGAACGGAGGTGAACCTCACACGCCTCACTCTGGGTACTATCCCAGCCCTGCCTAGTGGAGCATCAGCGTTGGCCGAACTTGTGATGGGAATATTTAAAACGGGTGATTTCATGTTGAGCATCAGTGTTGGTTGAACTTGTGATGGGGATATTTAAAATGGGTGATTTCAAGCACATATTACTCAGCCTTTCACAAGTTCCCACATGAGGATCTCACCATGGCCTGTGTGACTTGGGAGTTTTCCGCACAGCTAAAAAAACAACTTACCTTTCCTGGTTTGAATCCTCTTCCAGGATGAAGCCAGGTATTATCACACCAAAAAATTCCCAAATTTGCTACCAATTCCACCAGCCGAGTGTAGCCCAGCTGCAGCCCGGGTCCCAGGTGCCCCGTTTCAAAGCCGGAAAGCTCCTGGCTTGGAAAAATGACCATCAAAGCATGCCTGGGATCCAGGATACAGCTGGGCTGCACTCAGCTGGCAGAATCGGCGGCAAATTTGGGAGTTTTTTGGTGTGAGAATACCCGGCTTCATCCTGGAAGAGGAGTCAAACCAGGAAAGGCGTCGGGTTTTTTAGCTGTGTGAAAAACTCCTTCTGTCTTGAATAGGAAGGTGGGCTCGGGATGCTGGAGCCTGCAGCCAACTCAGCAATAACCAGTTTGAAACTCCTGCTCTCCCTGACCCTGCAAAAAGAAAAGATGCTTTGGGGAGGAAAAAGCAAGGACACTGGAGGGAAGACTTTCTATGAATAAAACGGGGTGTACTCTTCGTTCTGAGACGCACCTCGCACACAATCTGTTCATAAGATCATAAGCCGGATCAAGCCAAGTGTGAAACTGTTCCACACTTTTCCAAATTTGGCATCCTCCAGATGGCATGGGGCTCCTGAGATGAGGGTCTAAAAGGTTAGGGCAGCTGGGAATAAAATTTCAATACTCTGCATGAAAATGTCGCTCTTTCAAACTTCATTTATTTTGATATTTCTATCTTGCCTTTTGTCATGGGATCTCAGGGCAGGATAGGATATAAACCATTTAAAACATTTCCGGATTAAAACCATAAATAATCAAAACAAAATTAAAAAACATATTGAATAAAGCCACAATTAAAACAGCTTTCTTTAATTTCTTTTATTCATTTATATCCTGCCTTTCTCCCCAAAATGGGACTCAAGGTGGCTTACAACTTTAAAAGCTACATTGCTTTAAAACCATGTAGACTTTGTGAGAAGGTCCAAAACACACTGCAGAAATAATCCAGTTTGAGACTGCTTTAACTGCCCTGGCCCAATGCTAGGGAATTCTGGGAACTGTAGTTTTGTGAGACATTTAGCCTTCTCTATCAGAGAGGTCTGGTGCCACAATAAACTACAATTCCAGGGTTCCCTAGCACTGAGCCAGGGCAGTTAAAGCAGTCTCCAAGTGGATTATTTCTCCAATGTGATCTGGACCTGACTGTATTTTATAAGGCTAGCAGTTTGTTCAAAGCCAGCATAGCGTAGCAGTTTGAGTGTTGGACTCTTATGTCTCTGAAGATCAGGGTTCGATTCCCTGCTCACTATGGAAACCCACTTGGTGACCTTGGATGAGTCACACACTCTCAGCCCTAGGTAGGTTTGCTCAGGGTTATATAAGAAACAACTTGAAGGTCAACAGCAACAGTTTGTTCAACACAAACACATTCTTCAGGCAACCAAAAAACCCAAGATGGATGTTGCCAGATGCCCAATATAGAATTCAAACAGACTACGTAATTGGATTTCAAAGGGATCTTGTAGCACTTTTGAGACTCAGATGTATTTGTGTGTGGTGTGTGTGCAACACATGTACTGTGTATTTACGTGTGGTGTGTGTGCAGTGCATGTACACAGATGACATAGTGTCCAACTTCTTTATTTCAGTTAGCCTCAAAGGTGCTGCAAGATCTTTCTACATACTGTGTATTTGTGAATG